CTGCTGGGGGGGAATCCAATGCCGACGCTATCGGAGGGCGGTTCATTGTCAAGACGGACTGTAGCTTGAAAATTCCTCGGCGTGTATACACACGAGCGTTTGATGTTGCCCATTGGTTACACGGACGGAGGGCGGATACTTTTTTTCAACTTTGGGCTCTCGCGCGGAGCGCCTTAAAATTCGGAGCACTCCATATGGCTCGAAGGATGTAGTGCAGCCCCATTTCAAAACGGGGCTCTCGCGCAAAGGGCAGGCTCCTGGGGAGCTCGAGGTTCAGAGAAGCGCTTCCCGAGAAGGCACGCTTCCAGGGCCTCGTGAGGAGGAGATTTGGCACAGCCAGGGGGGACGCCGCAGCATCGCTGATGCATATGGGACTTACCCCAGTTCTCCTCCTGCTCATCCTCGTGTGGAGGCCTCCAAACTGGGGTTGGATCAAATGGGGTCGGAGGGCAGTACCGCCTCACCGATGCATCGGCAATGCATCTGCGACGTCGGGATGGAGAACATCGGGCTTTGGGTCGCGCCAAGTCGCCGACGCATCCACAGTGTGGCGCGACCCTCCGACACCATCTAATCCGACGCCATCTGGAAGCCTTGATCCTGGCTCCTCCTCCTACTCCTGGCTCATCCTCTTACTCCTGGCTCCTCCTCCTAGCTCCTCCTCCTCCTCCCCCTTCTTCTTTTCTTATTCGTATTAGTCTTCTTCTTCGTATTCGTATTATCCTTACTGCTTATTCTTCCTAACATTATCATTGTTACTGCTAGCATTGTCGGTAGTATTACTTGTATTACTGATATTCGTGTTTGAAAGACATATCCGTGTCCACGGCCTCGCGGGCTAGGCCCCTTTGCCGCGACCTCGTGGATACGGGGCGTTTTTTCGCGGCTGCCCCGCGCGGAGCGTATCCATGTGGTAAGGCTTCGCGTTGCGCACAGGCAGCCCCCAGGTAGTCCCAGCTGGCCTCAACATGCCCCCCGAGTAGTCCCAGACTACTCTGGGGGCATGTTGGGGCCAGCTGGGACTACTCGGGAGGCCTGATGAGGCCAGCTGTGACTACCTCAGGAGGGGGGCTGTCTATGCGCAACCCGACGCCTTACCAGCGACAGCGCATCCGCAGGATCGCGCCCCCGAATGCAGACTGCGAGGGCGTGGATACGGATTCGTTCGCCGCTCCTCACACTTATACTGATCCTCCCTGTTATAGTCCAGGGCTTCGGTGTGCGCAGCTGGGGTGTGCTCGGGCCGTTGGGTGCAGCCTGGCCCCTCGGGCGTGGCCCGCCTCTTCCTCCTCCTCCTCCTCCTCTTCCTCCTCCTCCTCTTCCTCCTCCTCCTCCTCTTCTTCCTCCTCCTCCTCTCGCCTTCCTCCGTTCGCCCTCCTCCTCCTCCTCCTCCTCCTCCTCCTACTCCTCCTCCTCGCCCTCCGCCTGGGCCGGGGATTCGCTGGGGTTCACGTGGTGCTGGTGCGCCACCCCGCAGCGCCCCAGCCGAGAGAGCACGACCAGTGCCTCATGCCTGCGTTGCTATCTCGGCTCCTTCCCTTCCCAGCCACTCGGCCCTCCCCCGATTTGCCAGGGCGGCAGAAAACCAGACCGCCCGCCAGCATAGCCCCCGGGCGAGAGATAGAAGCAGAGAGAGAGAGAGAGGTCGTTGGGCAGCCAGGCGAGGCAGCGTGGGCAACAAGTGGCACCAGCGAGGGGGGAGGGGGGAACAGGAGGAGGAGGAGGAGGAGGAGGAGGAGGAGGAGGAGGAGGAGGAGGAGGAGGAGGAGGAGAGGGGGCAGGATTTGGGCGGCTCGAGAGGATCCCAATTGGTTATGGTAGGGCAGGGGACTCCAGGCGATTCCAAGGAGGGGGCAGAGGTCTCTACAGTCCCTTGCTGAAGTAATGCAACTCTCTCTCTCTCTCTCTCTCCCTTGCGATTTCTTGCAATCGTTCACGCAGGGGCGGCGCGCGATTCGATGTTTGGCTGCTCCGCCCTCGAGAAGCCAGAGGAGGTGTTGCACCGTTTCTGCAAGGAGGGGTGGGCTAGGGGGCAGGGGGAGAGAAGGAACTCGGGGAGTGAACTGGGGAGGGAAGATCGAGGCCGATGGAGAGGGAGGGGCAGGGGGCAAGGAGGTGCGAAGGGAGGGGAGGGCATGGGGATGGGGATGGCGGTACGAGTGGGCACCGGGCGGCCATCCTGCTGCCACGAGGGCCACCCCTGACAAAGAGCGGAGGGGCGCTGCCCGCCACGCCAGGCCTCGGCCGCGAACAGGTCCCCCGACCTGGGATGCAGGGAACGGCCCGACGGCCAGCGGCCAGAGCCCCTCCTGAACCCAGCGTGGCCCTCGTTGCAGGGCCCTGGTCGTGGCCTCCAGCGTCCCGCAGTGGCCTCCAAGAGGCCTGTCTCGGGCCCTCGGACGGTCAAGAGCGAGCCAAGAACGAGCAGCCAATACCTGTGACACACGCCACAGCAGCATCGTGACGTCGGCTCTCTGGGCATGGGGATGGGGATGCGGAGGACGGCCCCAGAGGCCAACATGAGGATCCCAATAGTGAGAGAGTGGGAAACCGAACTGGCTTTCGGAGCCTGCTCCTCCTAGGTGGCCAGAAGAGACCCCCGAAGGCCCCCGATACACCTCCACGACACCCCAAAAGCGCCCCAGGAGGCCTGCGAGAGGCTCTCAAGGAGCCCCGCAAAAAGAACCTCCCAAGGGCAAATCAAATACCACCAGAAGACCTCCAACAAGCTTTCAAGACGGCAAAACAGCACGACCATGTCCTTGTCTCTTTCGCGTCCGCCTTCCTCCTCCCAATCCCCCAAAAGGCCTCCCAACAAGGCACGGGGGTGACATAGGACCACGCCCTACCTTGTTGGTACCTTCCAACACGTCGCCAACGTCTCCGCATCCTCTTCCGACGTACTCCTACTGCTGCTGCAGATGGTGCTGCAGCTGCTCTTCCTCCTTCCCCTCCGACTCCTCCTCCTCCTCCTCCTCCTCCTCCTCCTCTTCTTCTTCTTCTTATTCTTCTTCTTCTTATTATTTTTATTCTTCTTCTTCTTCTTATTATTATTGTCTTCCTCCTCCTCCTCCTGCTGTTTCTCATCCTCACCATCACCGTCATCGTCACCATAAACATAATCATGATCATCATCATCATCATCATCAGCATCATCATCATCATCATCATCAGCATCATCATCATCATACTCATCATCATGATCATCATCAACATCATCATAATCAGCATCGTCGTCATCCTCATCAGCATCATAATCAGCATCACCGACATCATCATCAGCATCATCAGCAGCATCATCATCAGCATCATCAGCAGCATCATCATGATCGTCATCATAAGCATCATCAGCACCATCATCATCACCATCAATAGCATCAGCATCATCATCAATACGTTCACCCACCATCATCATCATCACCATCATCATCATCATCATCATCATCGTCGTCATCATCATCATCATCGTCAACAGCATCATCATGAACATCATCATCCTCATAATCATCACCGTCATCGGCAGCATCATCGTCATCATCGTCAGCACCACCAACATCATCATCATCAGCAGCATCATCAGCATCATCATGATCGTCGTCGTCGTCGTCAACGTCGTCGTTAGTATCATCCTCATGAGCACCAGCATCAGCAGCTGCATCACCATCATCATCAGCAGCATCAGCGTCATCATCAGCATCATGACCATCGTCATCAACATCGACAGCATCATTATCACCATCATCATCACCATCATCAGTATCATCATCATCAACATCGTCATCATCCTCATCAGCGTCATCACATCGTCGTCGGAATCGCCATCGTGGTCATCAGCATCGTCATCATCGTCGTCAGCGTCGGCGTCGCCATAATCATCAGCATCATCATCAGCATCATCACCATCATCCTCACCAGCATCATCGGCATACTCATCATCCTCGTCCTTCCCCTTCACATCCTTATCATGGTCTTCAGCAGCAACACCACCACCACCACCATCATAACCATCACTATCACCATCACTATCAACACCATCATCAGCAGCAGCATCATCAGCATTATCATCACCATCCTTATCATCACCACACTACCATCACCACTATCGCCACCATCACCATCATCATCCGAAACAAAAACGACAATATCGTCATCACCGCCATCACCATCATGTCATTCACCCTCCCCCGCCCGTCCGCCACAATCTTCCACAACATAATTTCAGTATCCTCGCCATCCTCTAAATATGTACCATCCTTCTCCTCCACGACATGACCATATTCACCCACCCAAAGCAGACACAGAGGCACCGAAGAGGCCCACAACATGTCCCATCCAGGATCTGAACCGATCCCCTTCAAGGCTCTAGAATGGCCCAGTGACAACAACAGCTTGGACGCCAAGACTCCCACGTGCTCCAGGTGACGGAGTGCCTTGATCTAGGCGACAAGCTTGAACACCGCATCGGCGCGGGCGTCCCCACCACCGCGCGCACCTGTCCCCGAACACATACAATCCCCAGAGACCCGTTCCTCGCTGTGCGAAACACATCGAATACTCCTCAATTTGCTGCTTTCTTAGTCGCGAATGCTCTGTTTGCCTGTGTGGGCCACTCGGAGAGGATAGCGGAGCGCTTCCAATCCACAGTCGGACAAATCCCAAGGGATCCAAGGGGGCGTAAGCCTCAGAATCTCAGCATGGGGACGGGGGATGAGGAAGGGGACTGCGGAGAGGCTTGAAGGAGAGGCGAAGAGAAACGTGGGCGGGGATGAGGAGGAGGAGGAGGAGGATCAGAGGTCCAGAGGGCAAGGGAGGAGATGGGATGTGGAAGGGATGGGTATGAGAAAATGAGAAGGGGATGGGGTGGGTGACAAGGGAATTTGAATGCCGAGCGGGAAGGGGGAGCGAGAGGCGGAAGGGGAGCGGGAAGCGGAAAGGGAGCCCAGGAGAGTGAGGGGGCGAGGATGCTCGGCATCATATCGGGGATGAGGGCTTGCGATGAGCACAGGAAGGCGGGTAACCAACGAGCTGCAAACTGCAAAGCAAACAACGCCCGCGTTCCACGGCGCGTCGGTTCGGGGGGCGTCAGCTGTACGCCTACACCGGTACTGGCCCAGGATCGGTATCTAGATGAATCCCTCGTCAAGCCAGGCGGGGGTATGCACAGATCCTGCACCATCCCTGGAAAAGAAAAACAACTATTGTTTCAATTCCATGCCCCCCAACCCACCAGACCCCCGATCTCAATGTTGAGGCGGCGGCGGCCGACGACGGAAAAATCGGATCGCGCGGCGCCCCGCGTGAACACCAAAATTGAAGGGCGCGGGGAGACGGACACCGCGCGAGAGGCGCATTACTTTTCCAAGGCAATGGAGCCTAGGATGTGCCTGGTTAGGGTCGGTGTAGGTGTATAGCTGGCACCCTCCGATCGGTGCTTGCACGTTGCCAGGAGCAAGGGAGCAACGGACTTGACGGAAAAGGGTCCCTTGCTTCAGCTTGACGCGGAGATCCGCGCCCGCTCGCGGCTGTGATGGGCGTTGCCCGGAAGAAAAACACGCCGAGCGGCCGAATTAAGTGCGGGAAGCACTGAGCTTCTCTAGTAGATCTCCTGACGGATCAGGAGACGGTTGTCCCGAGTCCTCCCTTCTTCTCTTCAACTGACTAGCGACCCACCCAGACCAACCCTAACCCTGTGTCCATTCCCCAGGGATCATAACATTCGGGGCTCTGTGGGGATACTGAACAGTTTTCCCGGCAGGTCGCAGCAAGCTCCCAGGGGTCACAGCATGTCAGAGCATCGAAGAGCCGATCGTTATCCTAAGGCCTTTCAATGGTCGCGTGAAGGTCCAGAGGCAATCAATCCTTCGATGCCCCCAGGGGGCCCTCTTGAGGGGCCCAAGACGCCACAGCGGACCCCTTGGAGGACTGCCGGATGGCCCCAAAGCTCCCGAGACAGGCCCAAGACTCTACAACGTGACACCAAGGCGGCCCAACACAGCTGAAAGGTGGCCCCCAAAAAACCCAAAGCTGTCCTCGAAGAACGGCCCCGGGACGGCCCCAAACAGACCAGTGCCAGTCCCTGGGAGGGACGCGCATATCCTGTGATATCTCGGACTCCTGCAGGACCTCTCCAGCAACCCTTGGGGGCCGCGTGTAAGTCTGTACTGGCGCTGGATCTGGCCAACGGCCAATCCATTTTGTGTCCACGCACTTATGCCCGCTGCATTGCCGTCGCCGCAATCCGCCATTCGGCCGGCAACTGGCCCCCGCCGTGGGCCAGAGTTCGACACGGAATCGGGAGTACCGCTGCAGGCTCAGTTACAGAACCTCACACATGTGCATTGCAACTCCACGATGTGATTCCATATTGCGAGGTAGTTCGGTCACCGCGAGCTCGGCGGCGCCAGTCTGCTGGCGTGACCTCGCGAGGCAGAGACTGAGTGACCGATCTGGCAGGATCCACGACATACACAACAATCTACACAGCTACATCGCCATTCACTATTCACAAACAAGATGCCACTCCTCTCCCCGCGAGACTGGGAAGAGACTCACAGGAGTCCAAGGACATCAATGATACGTGGCAAGATCATGATCGACATCGGCTTGTCCATTTGTGGGCGCGAAGCCGCAAGCCACCATGTTTCGACAGATCAGCACTGACGCGCCGGTGGGCACGCATCTTCCTGCATGGCCGCCACAAGGAGCGCGGAATTAACGAACAAAGAGGCTCTTCCTTGCCACGCCGAGACTCGGCCAAGACTCGGCTCCCCGACCTAAGCCTTATGAGGAGCGGCTCGAGAACCCCTCCACAACCCAAAGCGGCCCTTATTTCAGCAACTTGACTATATTCCTACTTTTAAATTTTGATTACCCTGACCCCCCTCTAAACTCGACCCCCCCCCAGGGACGCCCCGGACCCCCTTTCGGACGCCTCGGCGGCCCCCTGGACGCCCTTGGAAAAAGGTCCGCTGGCACTTCCGGGCCTCCCAAGGCGCCTTGCCGGGCCTTGCGAGCAGACTCAAGGCGATCAGAGGGGTCATCGGAGAGGCGCAAGAGAGACCCAAGACAGCACAAGAGCGCTCCAAGAGAAACCTCGATGGTCTGAAGACGGCCCAGGAGGCCCCCAACACGCCACAAGAGGCCGTTAAGAGAGCCGAAGAAGCACAAATCGTCTCACTCCATTAGAACAATGAATATGTTTAGCATATCCGCTGTTGGGGTCTTCGCAGCTTCCAAGACGGCCCGATGGGCCCCCGATATCGCCCCAAGACGGCCCCAGAGGCCCCCAGAAGGTTCGAAGACGGCCAAAGAGGGCCCCAAGACTGCCCCAGAGAGCCCCGAGACTGGCCGGTAAAAACCCAAGATGCCCTCAGAAGGCTCCCAAAAGAGACCCACGAAAGCCATGGGAGACCCCCAAGAAGGCCACTGGAGACCCCCAAGAGGGCCCTAGATGGCTTCAAAAGATCTCTGGAGGGCCCCATCTCCTCAAGACGGCCCAAGAAGGCCCCAAGACCGCCCAAGAGGGTCCCAGGACGGCCCAAAAGAGCCCAAAAAACGCCCAGACGGCGTCCCCTTGCGAAGTACATCGAGCTGACCCGACGATCTTGGTGCCACGCTTGAGGCTCGAGGTTTAAATTCCTCGATCGAGAAAGACAGGCAATAGATCTATCTAGATTCGAAGTTCGACGATCGAATATTTCCTGAGTGCCTTGAGTCCCCAAGGCATTCAGGAAGCGACCAAAAAACGATTTGTTCGGAGCTACTCCGACTTCTTCGGCGCGTCATGGGATTATTTCCCAGCTCCTGCGCACAAGCGCGCAAGCACATCGGGCGAACGCGGTGTCAGCAGGCACGGGGATATCAGAAACATGAGCTGGCCGGCCGCCCGCCCAAGCCTCGAAGACCCCCTGCTGAAGCAACCGATGATTTATTTTTGTTGCCCGGGAATCGTCCAGAACAAGGCGCATGGCGCCAAGCGCCAATGCTGTCCTGTATCTCTCTCTCTTTCTTTCTCTTTCTCTTTCTCCCTCTCTCTCTCTCTCGCTCTCTCTCTCTCTCTCTCTTTCTCTGTAGATATATATGTATATATACAAGTAAACATATATATATATATATACACACAAGGTATTGTTGCTTCGCTTCGCTTCGCCACAACATCTTGCCCCTCATCCTCATCCTTGGCGCAGAAGCGCAGATCTGTCATCCCGCCGCGCTATGTGGACGACAGAGTGCGGTGCGCCTGTGAACTTCATGCATATAGGGGCGTTACGATGTGCGTCGCGAGCTTGACGGTTTCGGGGGATGCTGCTGTTGCAGGACCGACCGCGAAGGACAATTGTGTCGGTGGTCGCGTTCGCGGTCGTGGGGTGTTCGTGTTGGACATCGCGCCGGCGGGTGTGCTGGTGGTCGCGTTGCTCGTCATGGTGGCGGTCGTGCTGGTGATGGTGCTGGCGGGCGGTCGCGGTGGTCGCGCTGGCGGTTGTGCATGTGGCCGCGCTGGCGGTCGTGGGGCCAACGTGGGCGTGGATTTCATGAAGGGTGAACATGTCCGGAAGCGAAAAGCCACCCAACGGGCCGAACCAATTTTGAGTTTACGTCGACGATTAATTTTTCCTTCCGGGGTCTGGAATTGGTGGCGGCGTTTGCGGGCAGGCCGGCGTCGAGGGGCCGTCGCGGGCGTGGGCTTTCGTAGGGAATGAGCATGTCCAGGGGCGCAGAGCCACCCGGTGGAAGTCGTCCGCCACGATCCCAGTCGGCGCAGAGCGCGGCAGAACATCAGCGGAACCATGGAGCCAAAGCCTGCGGAACATCAACGGAAGCCTGGAACGTCAGAGGTATGTACGTCGTCGCTAGTACTGTGAGCCTTGGCGTTCAGAGTTCCTGACGTCATGGGGTTTGCGGGAGCCTTGGCGTGGAGAGCCCTGTCGGGTGCCTCGTGGGGCCTCCAAGGCGACGCAAGGTGGCCTCCAATATTGCACAATCGAGGCAAAATAAGGGACACAACAAAAGCAAACATCGCGAAGAAATCACCCGTATGAGTGCCGACACGGAGATTGCGTCTAAGCCAACGTGATCCATTCAGGAAACACAAAAGACCAACAGATAAGTGAAGCCTACAGATGTTCTATGGCACTGAACGCTCTGCTGGACCAACGCCGCCAGCGGGGTGAAATCAAGGGCTGCGTGTACTTGTTCTGTGCG